GCATCCGATGCATGGAGGAATCACGAATCGATTTATTTCAAAAGTATTCTTTTATTAAGTAAACCTTTAATTAAATAAAATTCATTTATCTTATCTCCATTAAATTTCCATCCCTCCTCTCTCTCTCTCTCTCTCCCTCTCTCTCTCTCTCTCTCTTAGAGCTGTCAAAAAAAGCTTCTTATTCACGAACAACAGTTTCGACTTGTTAAGTAGCTCGTATTTGTCTGTCAAACAAGAACAAAATTTTCAAGCTCAAATTATAAACGAGCCGGATACAAATAATTCTTTGTTCACTCGTGTTCGGCTTGTTTTAGCTAGAAATAAAGAAAAAATATATGTATATATGTGGTCACGCGATTCTGAGTCTTCTATTGCATTGAGTTGATACAGGTTTGAATCCAGCATCCTAAACATTTTTTCAATTAATTTTAACGATCCAATTTCAGGCCGAACACGAACACACTTTTCATGAGTTAATTTCGAACACGAGGAATTTCGAACGAGCTGAACACGAGTCAAGCCTGAGCTCACTCAATCTCGGCTTGTTTACAGCCCCACTCTCTCTCCTTCTCTCTCTCTCTCTCTCTCTTCTCTTGGTTGAACACCCATCCACTTATCCATGAATTTTATTAAATTGAATTTAATAAAATTAAAATTTGAAAGTTAAATTATTGCCTTAATACATTTCTCTCTTTCTTGCCTTGGCCAAATCTTACCCACTCTTCATCCTAAATTTATTTAAGTGGCCATTTAACTTGTCTCACACCCTTGGCCATAAATTTTATTACCTTCAAAATTGATGTTGATCCCTTGCTTGATCACTCAACCATGCTTTCTCTTTTCTTCTTCATCATCTTCATGCCATGATAAACTCACTTTGAAATCTAATATTTTTACATTTTCATATTGTGAAAGAAGGATTCGTGAGATTACTTTATTGTGTTATGACCTTTCTTCAATTTTGATTTTCATAGTTCATGATGATTATGAGTGCTCTTATTAACCTTATTGTTACTTAGATTAAATCCTTTCATTGATCATTTTGACACAAGAATTTTCTAATGTTTCGCTATTTAAAGGATAATCCACACACGTATCACCTAATTTACATGTTAATGTTCTAAATGACGAATAGAAAATTCGTATTAGTATTTTTCTTAGCGGTCAAGATTCTTGTATGTGGCATATGCTAATAGATCAATACTACACACCTACTATTAAAATAAATTGTATGAAAGTTGAAAAATCATTTGATGAATGGAGTGAAGTTGAAAGAGAATTGGATGAATTAAATGCTAAGGCTTGTAATACTTTGTACTATGCTTTACTTATCATTGATTCAATGAGAATTTTCATGCTTAATACTATAAAAAAATATGGGATAAATTTATTGTTGCATACGAAGGCACTAATGAAGTTAAATATGGTCACATAAATAGATTAGTGCATGAATATGAGTTCTTCCATATGTTACATAATGAAAATATTTCCGATATCTAAGGCTTGTAATACTTTGTAGTGTGTTTTACCTAAAAATGATTATATGCAATATTTCATACTTAAAAATATGAGATAAATTTATTGTTATATACGAAGGAACTAATGAAGTCAAATATGCTCACATAAATATATTAGTGTATGAATATGAGTTATTCTTTAATCAAAATATTTCTAAAATGTACACTCATTTTATGAAAATAAAATATACAATACATTATTCTAGAAGTTAGACAAAAAACAACATTTGATTTATACAAACTTAAGATGACTTTCAAAAGAATGGGATGTAAATGTCACAATAATAAGTGAAGCAAAAGACTTAACTTTCCATTCACTTGATCAACATCTTGGCTCTCTAATAGCACAAAAACAGATTTTGACCAAAAAAGATAATTAAATGATGCTTTTCAAAAAAAAAGAGATAAAAGGAAATACTATTTCTTTATAGGCGAATGATGCTAGTGATGAAATGATTTCAAGCTCTGAGGTAGAAATAGCTATGCTCTCCAATAGATTAGGGTGTATGCTTAGGAAGAAGAACCAAAGGTATGGAAAATTCAAAGTTCATAAATTGCATAACAAAATTTTGAATCTTTGAGAAGATATTATATGATATAAATGTAAAAATTCTAGATATGGAAGAGGACATGATTGTTTAGAAAATAAAAATGAAATTTTAAAGGACTTTGAAGAGAAGAAGAACTAGAAAAAACAAAAATCAACAAGAGAAGAAGAGAATGCTTATTGTGTGAATTCAGATTTAAGGGAATCAAGTAATGTCGCATGGTAAAAGAAGACACTTTGGATGATGAGGTATGCCATCACCGCTCGAAACTCTTGCGACTCTATGCGAATAATAATAATTTCAATGGATCAATTTCATGGGAAATCAGCAACACCGACACGCTCAATGTACTGTTGGTCATCACTCTCCAATCGACCATTTCAAAGGAAGAAAGAATTACAAACTCTTCAACCCCATATATGTCAAGACTTGGTAGGCTCAAGTTCATGCACTCCGACAATTGCTCGATGCTTAGGTAAGTTAGAAGAGGGAAGATTTACATACACGACATTCAATTCTTATGTATTTTCATATTTTCATGCATGTCACTCAATTCTTATATGTATTTTATACTATTGAATTCATTTTCCCAGCAGATTTATCTCTTCGAAGGTCGCCCTCCGATCAACCTTCCTCCGATCAATTGCCGCACTTGTCGATCGTCCGAGATGACCAACCAATCCATCCTTATCTAAAATCGTGGATGTCTAAAACTAGAATTATAAAATCAGTGTCTATTTCTTGTCCAAGCCAACCACTTGGCGAAACCTAAGATAAAAAGGAGGAGATTTTACATATTTCTATTCAATTTATCAATTTAGACAAACCCACATACCCGCCATTCAATGATACCCATCGGTCGGCAACACTACCAAATCGACCGATGCTCTGGTTGCTTTCGAGTAACTACCAACTTCCGGTCAAGACTTTGTGGGCTTAAAAATCATGCATACCATCTGTCAATTGGCCTTAGTTAAGGAACTTTCTTTTCTAAGTTATCTTCATTAATGTGCAGAAAGGCATACTCATCTCTTTTTCCCTAAGATTATCAAGAGAATTTATGTTTAATCCTTTTATTTCTTCTAAAATCTATTTATTAAAACTGCTATTACTCATGTTTTCATTTCTTTTTTGACCAAAAACTCATTTAATTGATGATCAACTAATGGAAAGGAGCTTCTGTCTACTATTTTTTATAGGTGATCAATCGACACTTGGGGAACTCAAAGTTAGATAGTAACATGAACAACAACATCAACATCATTCAATCGATAATAAAGACATATGGGACATATCAGCACCTGACAACAACAAACTTTGCTAGGGGTGTGTAAACGATATTCTGCACCCAAATTATAAAGCTAACGCCCATTAATGACAAGCTCCGTGAGAGGTGTCTAACGATCATCAGGGCCTTCGGGATGTATCGGCACCTGACAGCTACAAGCTCCATGAGGGGTGCATAAACAATTATTTTGCACCCAAATTATAAAGTTAACACCTGACAGCAAAAAACTCTGCAAATGGTGTCTAATGATCGTCAGAGGCCTATCGGACATATCGACACCCGACAACAGCAAGCTCCATGAGGGTGCGTAAATGATCGTCCTACGCCCAAATTACAAAATTAACACCCGACAGTGACAAGCTCCACGGCGACTTTACAACTCTAAGACTTCCCTCCGAGGAGAGCATCTACATGTCTCCCCTCCGGGGAGAACAACTCCATGACGCCACTCCGACAAATATCCCCAAGATTCCACTATGGGGTGGACAATTCTAAGGCTTCTTTCAATCGTCAACTCTTCCTCTGACGTCCAACTCTCCCCCCGATGGCCAACAATTTTCCAGAAAGAAAAACTTCAAAATGACAAACCCACAAGATGACGATAAAAATAGAGCACGAAGTGAACCTAGCGTGGAGTATTATTAATTTTTCATTTAGCAATGAACAAGAAAATTGGAGAACTTAATATGTATAGATAGTAAATGACACTTAGACATCATCAAGACAAAACAAGTCCTCCTCGGAGGTAAAAATGCTTCAGTTGGCGGCCTCCCATCAATCGGTCGGCTAAGCTCTTTCCTTCGGCAACCTTACGTTAATCAACCTGCTAGATCTCTCCTCGATCCACTTCACGCCAATCGATCCCCATTCTCTCAAGTGGTCGATTAATTCTATCACGAACCTTGAGGTTTTCCAACAATCGGGTAAAAGGGACTAAAGTACCATCTGCTTCTCTTTGAAGCAGAGCTGAATATGTAATTTTTATATACTTCTTACCCATTTTATCTGTTATAAATAGGAAGACTTCATAATGTAAAAAGTAAATTTTTGGGCTCCCCCACACTTTTTAGATCATGCATCATAAAATAACAATGGTCCACGAGCCCGGTAACACCCCACTTTCCCCACGATCAGGACCAACGAAAGTCTTCCTCCTCCTCCTCTCTCTTTCTCTCTTCTCTCCCATTTCTCCCACTCTCTCGATCACCTCTCCTCGATCCAATATTTTATTCCTTGAGCACGGTTCACCGAATAGATTTGGATTCAAATTTAACAAAATAATAAAAGCGTAGTAAATAGTACATAATAAGTTTAACAAAAGAGTTTAAATGTTGCATGAGTAATTAAACTAAGGAGAAAAATATAAAATAAAAAAGTTTATCTGCAAATAATATTGTTTCATTTAAGAGGAACAATTGTTGATCAGTCATCATGAAGTGAATCACTAGACTAAAAATTAACTTAAATTTCAAAGTAATAAATATAAAACAAATTGATAATTTCATACAAGCAAGCTTTAATATTCCATTTAAAAGATACCTAAATCATACTGGACATTACAGTGCAAACTATCAGTAAATCAACACAAAATAGTAAGAAATACAAGAGAAAATGAACAAGGCAAGAAAAATAAAGAAATATACAACTCTAGATATACCCAAGTCTGAGCTCCAAATCCAAGCGTCCATCTAAATCACCATAGTGATCAATTTCCATATCCAAGCTCAGCTTCAACACCTCCTCCTCCTCCTCCTTCATAACCCTCCCATCCCTCCTTCCTCCTTCCTCCATGAAGTTCCTCCACTCCCTAACTCCAAAGAAAGAAGAACCAGAAGAAGGATTAGATGAAAGAGCAAAAGTTTGGGTAGAGATATAGGAAGGCAATGTGTAGAGAACTGAAGAAGGCTTCTCATCTCTGGCATTCAAAGAAGGTGGTGGCATGTTAAGGTTAGGCACATTGTTAGGGTTAGGGTTGGACCTAAAGTTAGGGTTAGGGTTTGAAGAGGAGGGATGATCCCATGGAGGGGAACACTGCCTAAGTCTTGCTCTATCCCTTCTATGAACATTCATGTGCCCTCCTAGAGCTTGTGCTGACCTGAACTCCCTCTTGCAGAAGCTACAAGTGTAGGACCTTGGAGGCCATGAGAACCTCACAGCTGAAGAGGGATCTCCTCTTGCAAGAAAACTTCTCCCATGCCTCATGACTTGCTGATCTCTAATTTGTTTGTAGTTGTTTTCACTGCTGCTGTTGTATTTTTCTCTAAGTTTCTCCATGACTGAACTCTGAGTTGATGAAGGAGGGAAGGAAGAAGAAGATGGTGGATTTTTGGGCTCCTTCACTCACCTGAGGACCACAGTGATCATAGTGCAGAGTTAGAGAGACTTTAAAGTAGTTAATATCTCAACTGAAGGAGACTGGCGCACTGGTGGAATATTTGAGTTATAGCCATACTTTTGTTGGGCAGTGTGATTAGATATTGAGATATATAGTTTCAAACTCTCATAAATTAGTATATTTTTAAGAAACATGCTTACATGTATGGTAAAATATATGATTGTATTTAACTATAAAATTGCAAGTAAAAAATATTTTTTGGTTACTTTTTTTTATTAACTTTTTATTATTGAGACAAAATAAAGTGTAGCTAAAGATTATTGTAACTAAAATAATAATAAGGTACGCTTTTAAGAAATAATAATTTGAACTTTTAGTCACATTTCTCCAAAAATAAATAAATAAATGATTAAAAATGCAATTTTTGGGTGTTGTTTGGCTATAATCTCAATCTACATTAAATAAAATTTATCAAATTCAATAAATTCCATATATTTGTGGGATGGACATGGAGCTCGCGAGCGCGACAACAATCAAATTTATTAAATTCAGATATTCGTCGTAAAAGAAATGTAAAGAAATCGATCTAATATTTAGTTGAATTTAATTTTCATTTTTTTTGGTAGTTAGCAAAATTTAAGTTAAATTCATAACTAAATACTATTAAAAGTATACTATCAAACATCCCTTAATCAAACTTTTAAACATGAAGTTGACTAAAATTCCCCTTAATCAAACTTTTAAAGATAAAGATGATTAAAATTCATACAAAATCCAACCATTTTCAACAATGGATGACAACAACATAAAAATTTGATAGTGAAGGAATTAATTAGAGAAGGAGGAAGTAGGCATCAAACTCTAACCCCGAAGCTGAAAATCCCATTCGCGGCACCTCCTGCAAATGTCTGTTTCCTTAAAAGTCTTGTGCATAACAGAAGAGGAATCCATTTCCTGCAACCTCATGCTCCTTTCTCTCTCTTCACTCTTCAATTTCCTCTAAACTGTGAGGCTGGAGATGGAGAGAGAAAGAGACGAGTTACCTTTCCTCAGCACGTGAGAGGAATGGGCTCAGCTTGGCCATAGCTGCGCTTTCTGCATCATGAGTTATTATTTGATGATCCTTCTCCACACGACAGAGAATTTAATGCGCTCGGCTTAGATTTGCTTCAAGATTCGGGTTTAATTATTTGGTTATTTAGGGATGATTGTGTTCATAATATCTGTATTAATGTTGTTAATTGGATAAGATTGACAGAGATTGATGTGGACTTGTTTCTGTGATTAATTCTGTTGATGCATTAGTCAACATTTGCTGATGCATTAATAAATTAATTTATATATATATATATATATTAATTTGAAAGCACTAATCCGAGGTATCTTACTTTTTCAAAGGGAGATCTGTATCATCAATAATGAGGGAGCTAAGAAATTGCATGAAATTTAATAATACTTATTGTCACCTCACAAAGGAGTTTTTAAAAGAGTTGGACAGCCCAGGACTTAAGTACTTCTCTTTGGTCCTACACCTAGCCGATCTGGGATTTTTTATCCGTCACATTCTCCTCCAATCAATCACGTGACGCCCTCGTCATAGATCGACTTCTCCGAGTGTCCCACTGGACCATGAAGAGTCCACACACCTGACAGACAATAATCTACTCTGATACCACTTGCCACCTCCCAAAAGAGCTCTTAAGAGAGGTGGACAGCCCAGGACTTAAATACTGCTCTTCGGCCCTTCACCTAGCCGATGTGGGATTTTTTGTCCGCATCATTATGCCTTATTATCTTTAAGAAAAATAACTGTTACCAAATACTTAGGATTTGTTGGGATTATTTTAGGCAAGAGAATGAATGAATGAGATAAAATTTTTAAATATATATGCATGTATTATGAATAATCGATAGAATTTGATTTGTTCTTTTTCAGAAGTAAGTAAATGTAATAAAGTTTAATTATTAAGAGAACTTTGAGCTTTCAGCCCTTCTTGGGTTTCTATTTTTAAGTGAAACATTTTAGATTTCAGACTTCAGAAATGTTCCCCAACATTTAGAAGTTAATCATAACGAATTAAGATTGAAAGATTGTAATTTTGATTGTTTTATCATGCAAAAAATTTGATTTTTTAAATGCATGTCATTATAATATATATAATTAAAAAAAAATGATATATAAGATATGTAACAAACCCATGCATATAGGCTTTTATATACACAATATGTTTTAAAAATTCTTTTTTTTTTTCTATTTAGACTGATGTCTTGTCTTAGATGCACTTGGTTCAGCAACTTGGTAGCTTTAAAGGGACAAGAAAGAAAGTAAGAAGACAATATAATATTCCTTATCTTAGTCACTCTCAACTTTTTATTCATGCATGATTGAACAAAAAATTTCATTGGATAAGTAGAATCTGAACAATTTTGTCATCTATGGACCCAGAAATATTCCTATGTGCATTATTCACTTCAATCTAGGTAGAAATATGTCAAAACTAATTCAAATAGCAAAAGAAAATAAAGAAAAAAAGAGAAAATCTTGTTAAATTGATGGCTATGTCACATTACTGTGGTAAATTCTAGTTTAATTTTGATTATAGAGATTGCAATTATAATTTCTCAAATATAGTATAAAGACAACACTTGATTCTCGGGGTGTAAACGAACCGAACACGAACGAACAGAGCTTGTGTTCGTGTTCGGTTCATTTGAAATTTAGTTTGCTTGAAATAAACTCGTGTTTGAAATTGTTCGTGAAGTCACTGTTCGTGTTCGTTTATAGCTTTTTCTCAACGAACGAACCGAGCACGAGCTGTTCGCGAATGATGAGCCAGTTTGACATCCCTTATATATATATATATATATTATATTAATTATATAACTTATATTATATAAATATATAATATCTATAATAGTATATTACTAATATAGTATATTAATATATTATTATTTTTAATTTATTATATATTATAATTTATAAAATTTAATTTTTTAAAATATCATAAATTTTTTATATATAATTATTTTAAATTATTTTATATTTCGAACAATAACGATTCGAACAATAACGATTCGAACAAGAACGGACGCATCACTGTTCGTGTTTGGTTCGTTTAACTAACCGAACGAAAAGCATTTGTTCTTGTCTCGTTTACTTATTAAATGAATCAAGCTTGAACTCATTCACGAACCAAACACGAACTGTTCATGAACAACGAGTTTTTTTGATAGCCCTACTTGATTCCTCTTTATGAATAATAATTATGGCACTTATATATATCCATAGAACACTAAAATTATTTCATACACTAAAATTATTTCTATAGTTAACTCATCCCACAAAATACTTAACATTATCATTAGATATGAATATAATTATTGTAGAACATTATGTTTTTGATTCAACTATGAAGAAAAAAAGAGAATCCAAACACATATTAGTTATTTGATTCTCAATGTGTATACGTTTCTGATTATATATCTTATGTTTATTATTATTTTTTATTTAAAAATCCTCAAAACAAATGGATTTCACAGAAGGCATGAAATGGCTATTGAAATATTATTTTGGCTGAATTTATTTTGATTAAAAGAGAAGAATAAACAGCTCGTAATATTTAAATCAAATTAAAATTAGTGGGACATGTGAACTCACAAATTCAAGGGATATTACGTGTGGATAAGATATGTGTAAATTTGTGATATTATAGTGGATACCATCATAATATCATCAAATTCACACTTAATTTATCCGCACTTAATATTTACAATTCATATAGTTCTTTTATATATATATGTCGCAAGCCTTGGCCTGTTGGTGGCGGGGTCACTGTAAGTCCCCTCAGGTCAAATGTTTGATCCCCGCGGCGCAGGGCTTTAGAATTTTAGGCATATAACGCGGGCTTTCATCATGGGGCCAAAAAGCGCATGGGAAATCGATATTTGAGTCTCGGCTATATATATATATATATATATATATATTCTTTTTTATTTTTTTATAATTTTTTATTTTATTTTTTTAAAAGTGGGTTTTTGGCCGAGACTCAAATATCAATTTCCCATACGCTTTAAAAGCCAAGAATCAATCTTTTATTTTGTTTTCTATCAATTATGTAAAATATATTCAATTATCTTCATCACTCAAGTATGTTTTTATTTTACAAAAATTTTCTTTATATTTGAAAAATAATGAGCGCTATAAAAAGATAGATCAGCAAGATCGTCTTCTCTTGTTCAATGATATTTTCAACACAACATAACACAAATCATAATAGCCTACAAAGCGCATAAAAATTCCACCTTTCCAACAGATCTACGGAAGAAAAAAAAGATCAAAAATCAAAGAAATCTAAAACAATCCCATCCCTCCAGCAATAAGAAGTCAGCCATGAGAGAACTGAAAGAAGAATCAGATACACCAACTTTCTCCCGAAGTGACACAAAAAGGAAGAAAAGATCTACCCAAAACCCAGGCTTAGATTTGGAGACAAAGATGCCCAATTGCATGGACCCATTGTTTGCCAAAACCAGACAAACTTTATTAGGGCTGCATGCCCTAAACTGAACTTGTTTCCCCCCTGCACAAATTAGGGTTTTCTTCCCCATCACTCCACCATGGCTGCTTGCAGCTGGTTTGCCAACACTTTCTGGTCTCAGAGCTACTGAACTGGGTCTTAAGACACAGCAAAGTTGCCACCTTTATTCATATTATTTCACTTTAGGGGTTTGGATTTAGCCATTGTTGGGGACTAAGAAAAATGAGTAGGAAGGGAAAAGGAATCTGTGAGATGGATGGGGATTAGGTTTGATTGGCTATGAAAGAGAGAGAGAGAGAGAGAGAGAGATAGAGAGAGAGAAGGGGATCATGATTAGTGAGGATGTCACTTCAAATGTCATGAACTGTAGAAATCTTATGAGGTAAGTCCTCATGGGAGTTCTATGTGGAAGGCCTGTTTCTCTCTCATAATAAAAATATATACATTTTTAATGTAATGTTTAGTTAGATTTTTTATTTTTTTGGTAATTTTTTTCTTGATTATTATTTTTTATATTGTTAATGTGAAC